TCCACAGTAATCAATCACTTAAGAGTTAGAATGCATCTTGCAAAATAGCCAGTTTCACTAATCAGGACATCTGTGGAACAATTAAAGTCTTTGAAGAATATGTTTGTGTACTTCCCAACAATATCAACTTCCCAGCAGGTTGGCAGATTTCCTCACACTACCATCCTTGTGGTGGAACTTGCTGTTATTTGTTGAATGTCCACTTCACTTATTTATTTACTTATTTGCTAAGGAAGATTCGCCCTGAGCTAACATCTATGCCACTCTTCCTCTATTTTGTATGTGGGTCACTGCCACAGCATGCCTGACGAGTGGTGTAGGTCTGTGCCCAAGATCCAAACCCATGAACCCAGGCCACTGAAGTGGAGCTCACTGAACTTAACCACTATGCCACAGGGCTGGCCCCCTCCACTTCATTTTTTTAGTGGGGTTGTTTCTGGACCAGTAACAGCAGCACTGGAAACTTGTTAGAAATGTAATTCTTAATAATTTTTTTTTTTACTTATTTTTCCCCCAAAGCCCCAGTACATAGTTGTATGTCATAGCTGCACATCCTTCTAGTTGCTGTACGTGGGACGCGGCCTCAGCGTGGCCAGAGAAGCAGTGTGTCGGTGTGCGCCCGGGATCCGAACCCGGGACGCCAGCAGCGGAGTGTGCGCACTTAACCGCTAAGCCACGGGGCCGGCCCAGAAATGTAATTCTGGAGGTGCATCCCAGATCTGAAAATTCTGAAGCCGAAGCCATAGGGCTGAGGCCCAGAAATCTGCCTTAACAAGTTCTTCAGGTGATTCTGATGTAAGTGTGAGAACCACTGCTTTAGTAATTAAAAGGCTGTAGATAGATGTTCACTGTAGATCTCAACTTGGGATTTACTACATAGCCAAACTGTAATTAATAGGCACTAAAGTTTATTTAGGCAATTTTTATTAGGTTAATGATGTTTACAATTGTGGTAGGCTGAATAACGGGCCTCTAAAGTTGTCCATATCCTAATCCCCTGATGTTGTGAATGTTATCTTACATGGCAAAAGGGACTTTGCAGGTGTGATTCGAGTTCCTAAGACGGGGAGAGTGTCCTGGATTATCCAGGTGGGCCCAAAGTAATCACAAGGGTCTTTCTAAGAGGGACGCAGCACGGCCACAGTGAGAGAGGTGATGACAGAAGCAGAAGTGTGAGAGAGTTGAAGACGCTACACAGCTGGCCTTGACAATGTAGGAAGTGGCCACAAATGAAGGAATGCAGGCAGCCTCTAGAAGCTGCAAAAGGCGAGAAACAGATTCTCCCCTAGAGCTTCCAAAAGAAAGCAGCCCTGGCAACATCTTGATTTTAGGACTTCTGACTTCCAGAACTGTAAGATAATAAATGCGGGGTTTTTATCAAGCCACTAAGTTTGTGGTAATTTGTTACAGCCGCAATAGAAAAATGATAAAACAGTATATTCTTCCTCTCGGGAAAAACTTGATGGTCAACTCACCTGCTTTAAGATCTTGGAAGAACGAGGTGAGGGTGGAAGCCTCACATTCAGGACTTCTAGGTGTCTTGCCTCAAAACTTGAATGTTGGTGAAAGACAGAATTCCTGAGACAACAAGGTTGGCTTTGGAGCAAAACTTTCCCTACCCCAATTCAAAAGTATCTCTTCCTGGCCTTTGAATGAAACATATGGATTTGTTCTTCTGGGATATGCCATTATTGGCTCCATCTGCCACTTTTAAAAGATCTGGGAAAAGTAACTTGTTGGGGGCATCTTCTATCCCTGAAGTGTGAATTAATTTCACAGACTGCTTTCCAGGACTAGACCAGTGCATGAAGGGTGAAGAGGTGTTTCTACCTCTTCAATTAAATTACTTCAATTATAATTTCTAAAGACCCTAAGAGTTAAGCTAAGACTAATGTTAGCATACTAAAACTAAAAGAAATTTTTGGATCATCTAGTCCAAATTCTTTTAAACCAAGGCCTTGTGTAAAGTAATTCATTGGCAACCACACACCTAATTAATCCACTTGGCAAACTGTGATCTTGCCCCATAAAAACTGCTCTGATCTTTTCTGATTGGCTTCATTGGGAAAAAATGTGGCTTTTTAAAGTAAGCCCTCTCAGGAAGATGCTAATTTATATTTTACACTATTTAAAATGTGAGCAAACGAGAAAATTTTCACCTAACTTAGCAATTTGCTACATTCTCCTTTCTACATGAGGAATCTGCACTTTCTGAGTGTAAATAGAAGAGGAAACACCTGCCCTGTTTCCCCATAACTTTGTTGTAGCTAAGCCTTCCCTCCAGCTCAAACTCTCTTCCTCCATGAACGAATGCATTCATGCTCAAGCAGACAGTGACCTGGGGATCGAAAGAGAAATAAGTCCTTCCTCTTGAGAAGCTCATAGTCTAGACGGGAGACAAACTGGGTATGTAAACAATGTTATAATTCATATTGTAGACACGAAAAGAGCCCAGATCCCAGAGCAGGTGGGACAAATAGTGGGGCAATCACTCAGGGTCTCACAGTGTTACATTCAATCCGGGCCGTCAATGAAGGATCAAGAGGGCAGTGGAAGGGAAATGATATTCTGAACAGACAGCAAATGTGAAGGCATGGAGAGAGAAAACCTCTGCGTGTTTAGAGAACAAGCAATGAGATGTGATGGACACTTAGGATGCTTGGGAGAGGATGGCAAGAGATGAGCTGGGAAGGAAAACACGACTATAAAAAATGCAAAGGGGCCTATACTTTATCTTTAGCAAGGGGACACTCAAAGGTTCTTTTTAAACAAGGGAGTGGCATGGTCTGTTTTAAAATAATAATAGCAGCCTGTGAGTATTTAATTCTTGTACAACCTATTTAATTCTTACAGCCCTGTGATGAAAGCTCTGTAATTACCCCCATTCAACAAATGAGAAAGCACAAAGAAGCTCAGTAACCCCACTCACAAGGATCAAACTCAGGCAGTCTGGCTGTGAAGGCTAGACATCATGCTTCTGTGCCAAAGCTGACGATGCGCCGTGGGAGAAGGGAGAGGGAGAGAGAGAAATTAAGATGCTGCTTGAAGAGTAAGCCAGTGTTTCCCTAACTTACCACTCACTTCCTACCTTTACACAACTTCTGCCGTACACAAGAACCACTTTTAATATTTCTTTAATCCAAATCATCTTTTTAAACTTAAATTTTAAAGGGAAACCTGAGGATAACAGTAACAATAACAGAACAACAGGTACAAAAGTTAGGATGGGTCATGGTCCCAGGAACAAAGAGCTGTACCCAGAGTTAGAGGATAGGGAAGGCCAGACACGTCAGAGCAGGGCAGGCAGTAGCAGGTGTGCGGCTGGGCCCAGTGGGTGAAGCGGCAGGAAGACAGTTACTGAGAATGCCTTCAGCAAGATGGCAACCGCAGTGAAGGGGGGAAAACTGAGCCAGGGCAGTGAGCCTGACGTAGCTACATGGATAATAGGATGTGGGGTTTGTGGAAGACTGAGGCTGGGGCTGAAGAAAACCCTGCGAGCCGTGAGGATGGAGTCCAATAAGCAAATAGAAGGGTGAAGGATGATTGAAGGGGAGAACCAGGCTGGGAGCCAAGAAGAGGGCTGGGGATATTTGGAGGAGGTTTAAGAGGACAGCAGGAGGGGGAAAGGAGGGGTGGCTTAGAGGGTTAAGGAGAAGAGTTCCAGAAGGGAGAGATGAGGGGTAGGTGGCATTGAGGAATGACTACAGCAGGGTGGCTTGGGGCAAGAAGTGGGTTGGGTGCTCAGCCCCACCATATTGTACTTTGCGGGTTGTCTCTGAGCCTGAATCCTGAACGGTGGTGATGGTCAGCTCCCCAGGAGTGAGATGAACTTGTCATCCACAGACCACCAGAAATCAGCTCTAATACCTCTTGTGGTATGCACTTCCTTTTGGGAAACACTGGTGTGGGCAAAGGATGGTACAGCCCGAGTTAAAGAACAGGATACTTGGAGGCCGTTGCTAAGTTTCTAGAAGAACGTTTGGGTTATCATTATTCTGTTTCATTTTTTTATCCTCCACAGTGCCTAGGCATGAAACTTTGTATGTAATATGCACTCAATTATTCAATTACATTATTGTAAGTGGTTGAAAAGACCTCAGTAGAGATGAGTCTTCTGAGACATATCTTAATAGTTAGGATCCAGTTCATGAACTACAAGGGAAAGGGGAGACTGTTAGACTGGGTCTGACAGAATATTTGCCCTCACAAGAAGGGATGATTTTTCAGATAGCTGACAAACTGCCCTAGCTCACTGACAACTAGAAAGGCCCTGAGGCTTTAGATATTGCAGGAAAGTAAGAAAAAAGAGAGACACTGTAGACAAGGCTTAATGTTTCAAGATCCACGCCAGATCATAAACCATTTCCCATTGTCTACAAAACCCACTTATGTCTGGGTAGAATACATTTCGCTGAAAATCAACTTTAGAAATTGTAGCCAACAGATCCTAAGGTGACCCCAATGATTCTCACCTTCTGGCATTCACACTCTTGTATAATATATCCACCCCTTAAGTGTGGGCAGCACCTGTGACTTGCTTCTAACCAAAAGAATATGACAAAAGTGATGGAAAGTCGTTCCTGTGATTACGTTATGTTATACAAGACTCCTTCTTGCTAGCAGAGGGCCAAGTGTCAGGGAAGGGTGGGCAGCCTCTGGTAGCTGAGGGCAGCCAATGGCCAATGGCCAGCAAGAAACTGAAGCCCTCAGATCTATAGCTCCAAGGAAAGGAATTCTGCCAACTGAAAAGAATTTGGAAGCAGATTCTCTCCCCAGTCAAGCCTCCAGATGAGACCATAGCTCCGATCAACACCTGGATTGTGGCCTTGTGATAGACTCAGAGCAGAAGACCCAACTAAGCTGTGCTTGATCCACAGAAACTGTGGGATAAATAACACATGTGTTGTCTTAAGCTGCTAATTTTATGGTCATTTATTATACAGCATAGAAAATGAATACAGAAATCTTAATATAAAAGAAAAAAAAGAGGAAAAGGAATATTGAATTACTGACCATTTGGGATATTTATTAATGAAGATCAAACATCCAAAGGGCAGTCCTCAATGCTCATTTCCATGATTTTAAGAGTTGGTTCTTCCATGTCATGATTATTGTCACCTTTGACACTGCAGAACTGAAGAGACTGGGAGAGTGCTGTGCTAAGACGACAAAATTCATTTGAAGTCTCAACCTTTTCAGTGTCACTATCACATTCAATGACATTGACAGAGGTTTCTTGGTCTGCTAAGCTATCTGAAATACTTGGATTTTTTTCATCCCAAATTGAAGGTCCAAGATTTGTTCCATCATTCACCTGTCGAACTATAACCCCTTCTGAATACTTTGATTTATAGATGGGCAGGAAAAATTCATTTGGTGAAGAGAATACCTTGTTCCCATCCTTCGGTGCAGACAATAACATATCTAAGGCCTTTTGGTATTCTTGACGTTCCTGTTGAATTGTTGCATCTTGCTCATTTTTATATTCCTTTTGTTCTGAATTCTCAGCCTTTTCAAAATCAAGTAAATTCAACTTATCAATGTCATCTAGCTTTACTGAGTTTTCCTTGGACGTGCAGCCTAAGTCCACCTTCAGGACATGCAGCAGGTGGCGCATTTTTCCCTAAGATTAAGAAAAAGACAAGAATAATTCCATTAACTAAACTAGCCAAATTGAACTACTTTTGTCTCAGCAGGATTAATACTCCTTCCATACTCTGCCCCCCACCCCCTCACAAAAAGTGCGGGGAAAAACTGCTTGCTTTTAATGCATTCTTTGAGGGTATGGAAAAACTTTAAGATTCTTTCTATATTAGAATTTTTCTAATGAAGTTCTGAAGAAAGACAAACCTCCTCCAAATGATGTTTATTTTGTTTTATATGTCGCTCAAACAGTCGTTCTAAAAACCTACAAATGAAAAATAAAAATGTTAATGTCTCAAAATCAGAAAATCAACTAATCATAAAACAGCCATGCAATAACTAAACTACTGAAGGTTGGAAAATATTTTTTAGATAACTCTTTTTCTTTCCAAAGCTAAACACTCATCCTTCCCTGTTTTGTCAAGTTCTCCAAAGTGGAAGCTAGTATGGCTTCCACTATGCATTTGTTTAAGTTACATAACGGATGCCAATGTTCCTGAAAGATGGCATGCTACTTAACATTTCTGTGAATAAACTATTTTAAACGAGGTCCAAAAATCACCCCCTGCACACCCCAAAAAGCTCTTTTTTCTCTCACACACATACACAAACATCAAAAACCTCTCCCTCTTGTCTTTCATGTATATACCACCCCCAAAACCTAACCTTAAAGAAAATCCTCTTACAAAGAGTTATTTTACAATGCTTCCCAAATTACACTTGAAAAAATTCCACTGATGGTAAATCCACATAACCTAAAAGTTATCACTTATTAAGCACCACTAAGTGCTAGACATTTGTGACAGACACATAGTAATCATTATACCTCTAATCATAACCAATAATGGGAGAGAAAAGTACTGGAAAAAACACTCTAAAGATGAGAAAGCAACATGTCTAAGATGACAGTTTCCTCCCCTAAGGTCACAGCCATTAAGAGAATTTAACCACATGTGTCTGACTCCAGAGAATTTCTTCTCTCAACTACACCATGCGTGTCTCACTACCACATGAATGTATCAGTAAGTTTCTTGAAAAACAACTCATTTGTCATTATCAATGAATTTATAAGCCAACTTTAGATTTGGTAGTTCTGAATTATTTAGCAGTTTTTAAAAAGCCCAAGAAACCTGTGTTCTACATCTTACAACTACTGTAGATGTTTTGGACTATTCACTCCTAGGCATTTTTCTATATGAATATTTCTTTACCAAAACTGGGATTAAACCATACATACTGTTTGTTGGGTCCCTGTTTTTTTTTTTTGTGAGGAAGACCAGCCCTGAGCTAACATCCGATGCCAATCCTCCCCTTTTTTGCTGAGGAAGACTGACCCTGAGCTAACATCCGTGCCCATCTTCCTCCACTTTATATGGGATGCCGCCACAGCATGGCCTGACAAGCGGTGCGTCGGTGCACACCTGGGATCCGAACCCACGAACCCCGGGCTGCCGCAGCGGAGTGCGCGCACTTAACTGCTTGTGCCACTGGGCCGGCCCCTGGGTCCCTGTTTTGTTTTGTTCTAACCAACTATATATTTTGAACATCTTTCTGATTCAATAAATTCACTTCTACAACATTATTTTAAATCTCTGAACAGAAATTACTTTTGTAAATATTCTACAATCTATTTAACCAAACCTTGACTAGTCACCATGTAGGTTGATTCCATTTTTTGCTGCTATTATAAAAAATGCTGCAATAAACAGCCTTACACTCTAAGAGAAAAATGTGTCTTTTAGCATAAATACATATGTTTCATGCATACTTTTTTGTTTTCTTTTTTTTGCTTCTAATCTTTATTTTTTGATTTATAGTTGAAATCTTAATATTTTTGTTATGGTGGTAAAAAACATAAAATTTACCATCTTAACCATTTTTAAGTGTACAGTGCAGTAGTGTTAAGTACATTCACACTGTTGTGAAACATATCAACAGAACTTTTTCATCTCGAAAATCTGAAACTCTATACCCATTATGCAAACATTTTTAACCACCTTTTTAAAATGAAAGAGGTAAACAGAATTATTGTCAAAAAACTTAGGTCTTTCTGGTGTATCTTTTTATACCAAAAATGAAAATGTTAAATTTAATTAAAAAGAAAAAAAACTTCACATAGGAATAGAAATAATTCATTAGAATTGTCTGCACTTAACATATTATTATGACAGGGAAAGCATGCAGTATACAAAATGGGGTCCTGTGATACATAACATAAAGTGGGGCTTAGTGCCCAGTGAATTTTAGACAAATAAATGTTCAACCTGATTCAGGACCACACAGTTTCTTTGAGACATGCCATACCTCATTTGGTTTTGCAAACTTTTCATTTCACTTAGAGTATGCAAATCTAGTTTTTAATTTATCTTCACTTTACTAGTAACAGTATGTACTAAAATGTAACAAAAGGTAACAAAATTTTGTAATGTAACAAAAATGTTTGCTTTTGATTCTGACAATTTGAAAGAGTAAAATGAGATGATGGATCTTTGAAAATAAGAAGCAAAACTTTAGTTTACTAGTCTGTTATAACTAGGAGATATAATAGTTTTCTCGTTTGTCTTTTGTAGACTTTATGGGATTTTTACATGGATGATAGTGTTATCTGTGAATAAAGACAGTTTTACTTCTTTCTTTCAAATATGGATACCATTTCTTTCCTTTTTTTGTGATAGATTTTTTTAAATTGAGGTATAACTGACATACATTATATTAGTTTCAGGTGTACAACATAATGATTTGATATTTGTATATTTTGCAAAATAATCAGCACAATAAGTCTAGTTAACCTCTGTCACCATACACAGTTACAGAATTTTTTTTTTCTTGTGATGAGAACTTTCAAGATCTACTCTCTTAGCAAGTTTCAAATATGCAATACAGTATTATTAACTATAGTCACCATGCTGTACGTTATATCCCCATGACATACATTTTATAACTGGAAGTTTGTATTTTTTGATTCCCTTCACCCATTTCGCCACCCCCTAACCCCCACCTCTGGCAACTACCAATCTGTTTCTGTATCTAAGAGATATAAAAAGATTTAAATGACTAAAATCTCTATTCTTTTCTATAAACTCTTCCAAACTATGAACTTGCTTTAAAGTATGAATTAAACATTCTCTACAATTTGCTATCAAGACTATGGTCCCCTAAGAAAGCAATATAATTTTTCATTTCCTAACGTGGAAATAAATTAAAAAAATTAACACCAAATGAAGAGTATTTAATGTACTGTTCAACCACCATATACAAGTTAAAAAATCTAACCTGTTTGAAAATAAACCAAGTTTCAAAATTTCATCTGTTACATCTTCAATGAAACTCAGATACAACAGTTCTTCTTCACTGTGAAGGCAAAGCAACACAGAGCATAAAAATTACTGCTTGCTTACTCTGAAAACTATAGGAAACAAGGGTGCCTAATTAGAAATATCTCCACTATTACAAAAGTACTTCTATCTCACATTATTAAGAGGAATATTATAAAACAAGCATATGTCTACCTTCTCAAATTGTGCAAGGATATTTACTACAGATGAGAAAATATTCCTGAATAGGGTAAAATTTCATAGATGTCTGCAACATTCATCCAGCAGTAAAAAATAAGCAGAAATTAAACAAAATAAAAAAATGAGAGCAACCAAGGGCAAGAGGGCCGCCAAATGTGATCCACTGGGCGCGTGTTGCCGAGGAGCATCGCAAGTGTCCTCTGGCTCCTGACCACGGCACGTGCAGGAAGGGAAAGAGGAACGTCATCCAGAGAAGCAAGAACTTCATACATGAAATCTTCTCCTGTTCGTAGCAGAGCATCTTGTTTTAAGGTTGGGAAATTTACTTAGCAGAAAAAAATTATTTTTTTTATCAAAACATTTGGAGAGGAGGAAAAATATTCTATTAGAAAAATTTGTGCACATAAATATAGTGATAATTTTTAATTACTTGGACACATTTCTTTATTATACTATCTTAAGAGATAACTATATTTTAGTAACTATTACAGTAAAATTAGGATACTATTATAAGTTTGATTTTAATTAGCTGAAATCAGTGAATTGATAGAAAATGTAAAAATAGCAAGTAATTACTCAATTGCTGAATAAGCAAATATAAAAGGAAGAGTTAACAAGCAAATCAGATAAAAGATTAAAATGTTGTATAAAAAGTTACACTTTCAAACTAATTCACAGGCACTAATATTTAAGCAGCAAGTTTGAAAATGAATGAAACTCTATAAAAATAGATTATTTCCCCTGAAAAAATGCAGCTTAATTAAAACTTAGAAGTGTAATATCTGCAAAGAACTGGTGAGGTTAGAAACCTCTAGGAAGGGGATCCTGAGCTATCAAAAGTCTGCATTTCTCTAAAACTCTTCTTGATTATTTTTACTGATAAAATAAATAAGAATTATGAGTACTAATTATTAAAAAATAGCAGGTATTATTAACTTAGGGACACATTTCCACTGGGCATAAAGATGAAGTGATTGGTAATTATTTCAGAAAATTCTGGTCATTCTCTCAAATTTAGCATGTATTATATGACTGAACCCCAAAGCTGGTTGTAAGAGAGATTAGTGTTCAATCCTGACTTATATTATAACGGTCTGTGTGATTCTTCTTCTTCTTCTTTTTTTTTTTTTTGTGAGGAAGATCAGCCCTGAGCTAACATCCATGCCAATCCTCCTCTTTTTTGCTGAGGAAGACTGGCCCTGGGCTAATATCTGTGCCCATCCTCCTCCACTTTATATGGGATGCCGCCACAGCATGGCCTGACAAGCAGTGCATCGGTGCGCGCCCGGGATCCGAACCCGGGCCACCAGCAGCGGAGCGCGCGCACTTAACCGCTACACCATGGGGCCGGCCCCCCTGATTCTTAATTCTTGATTTCCACTAAGCAAAATGAAGATCTTAGAGTGGATTTTTCTCCCTGAAGGAGGCTGCAGGGAATACTGACATACTGCCCTAGAAAGAGGAAATTAAAATATTTAAACAAAATAATGACGGGCATACAATAAGTGTTCAATAATACCATCCATTAGAAATAATATGTTCCAGAACTTTTAAAGCCCTGTCATATCCACGATCTAATCTAATCTTCAGAACAATTCTGTCAGGTATATTGAGTAGGTATGATTTTCCCCACTTACTAATGAATTCACCAAGGGGCAGAAAGGCTAAGTAACTTGCCAAGGTCACGTGTTAGTAAGCAGCAAAGATAGATTTTTTTCCCAGTAATTTTATTGAGATCATAATGGTTTACAACATTGTGTAATTTCGGGTGTACATTATTGTTCATCAGTTTCTGGATAGACTTCATGGTGCACCCCCAGTAGTCTAATTATTGTCCGTCACCACACATATGTGCCCCTTTACCCCTTTCTTTTTTTTGTTTTTGTTTTTGTTATATTTTTTGTGAGGAAGATAAGCCCTGAGCTAACATCCATGCCAATCCTCCTCTTTTTGCTGAGGAAGACTGGCCCTGAGCTAACATCTATTGCCAATCCTCCTTTTTTTTTTCCCTTTTTCTCCCCAAAGCCCCAGTAGATAGTTGTATGTCATAGTTGCACATCCTTCTAGTTGCTGTATGTGGGACACCGCCTCAGCATGGCTGGACAAGCAGTGCGTCGGTGCGCGCCCGGGATCCAAACCCAGGCCGCCAGTAGCAGAGCGCGCCCACTTAACCACTAAGCCATGGGGCTGGCCCCCACTTTATCCCTTTCACCCACCCCACAACCCCCTTTCCTCTGGTAACCACTAATCTGTTCTTTATCCATGTATTTGTTAAAAGATAGATTTTTTAACTAGTCTCTAATTACAAATTCACAATCCTTTTTAAAACTGTACTATGGCACTTACCTAGTATAAACAATATCAATTTGACTAAGGTTAACATCTCAATATAACCTGGAGATACCTATTGCCCTATGGAAAAAATTTTTAAGCTGGTCATTATGATAAATTTTGTCAGTATTCAGTTATGTCGTCGTTAGTTAATTCCAAGCTTTTTATTCAGGTATATTCACTTGTAATATTTTACTTTACTTTAGATAGAAACTACTAGAAAAGATAAATATTCCTTTCCGTCATTCTTTATATTCGTTGCAGACTTTTGCTCAAGAGTAGCTTATAAATCTTGGGTTATGAGTACTGAAGCATCATGAATCTCAAGACGGAGAAGTTAGCCATGAACCCCCACAGCCTTGCCCGGTGAGCTCTCCCTAGGAAAGACCTGAGGGAGGAGCTGGGCCCTGAGGCATTGCGTGTACATATGACCCTTCATTCTTGCTCTCTTTTCAATCTCTAGTCCTTTTTTTCTTCCACCTCCTTCATCTTATATCCAATCTCTAACACTGGAAATGCATTTGACAGCTGAAACTATCAAAGGCATTTTTTAGGTTCTATCCTACCTGGTAACCTATCATTTTTATTTAGGTGCAGTACTCCATAAGTACTAAACACGTTGAGTAGTTTTTAAAAATAGTGCCTCTACATAGCGTGGATAAAGCATTAGCATACAGTGAATATTCAAAATCACAAATTATGAATCCTCAAATAGTAAGGTTCTTCAGTACTATTTGTGCCACGTAAACTGGTTAGCATCACTGCTGGAGGATTTGTCTTCGGGAAAATCCTTTTTCATATGAATAGTGATGGCAAATAATATAAGCCAGTGTTCTTTTTTCCTTTATTCATGAATTAACAAAATGAATTCATTAAAATTTTGACTGACACTTACTTTGTAAAATTTCCTTAGTAAAACTAACACGGCCACTGAATTGTATGTATATCACCAAAATAGAATAGCGAGCATGGAATTAAAATAGGACTTATGTCACAAACACTGTATGTCTATTATATAGGAAAGCAGTTAGATAAAGACAGCTGAAGTGATTTCTCCTGTGAGCTGTTTACCTTGAGGAGGAACACTGAAGAGCACCATCCTTCACCTCGTCCCATGGTGAGCCATGCACTTGTAAAGGTAAAGGGCTTATTTTTCCTTTGGTACCATTTGTCATACAACTAGGTGCCTCGGGCTGCAATGAGAAGAATAAATTTTTATTTTGTTTCAAAAATACATTATAAAAGCAGAAATAAAACAAAACAGCAGGAGCTGGCCCGGTGGCGTAGCGGTTAAGTTCACACGCTCCGCTTCTGCGGCCCAGGGTTTGCTGGTTAGGATCCTGGGTATGGACCTACGCACCGCTCATCAAGCCATGCTGAGGCAGTATCTCACACAGAGAAACTAGAAGGATGTGCAACTATGACATACAATTATCTACTGGGCCTTTGGGGAGAAAAAAGGAAAAAAGGAGGAAGATTGGCAACAGATGTTAGCTCAGGGCCAATCTTCCTCAAATCAAAAAAAAAAGGAAAGAAAAACAGCAAATTTGCAAAAAAAAAAGTCGAGGTAAGAGAGTAGATATATCCAGTGATATCTCTATAAAAAGTGACTGATATAGTACAACAAAGGATGTTTTAGAATATATTTTCCATTCAATTAGGACTTTTTTCTTAAATTTACTTAAAGTAAGATACAACAACTTCTTATTTCTTATATTTTAATGAGGGATATTTTAAACGACATTAAGAAATACCACCAGTAAACATATAAAGAGAAAATGAAGCAAATTTGCAAGTTTTCAGTACACTTGAGAAAAAAATATCCCATTATTCAGAAACTCAACCATCTGTTTCAAATGCTAACATATCAAATATGTAGAAGCAGTGGCAGTTCTAGTAGTATGAACAATAATATTAACAAACAAACAAAAATAATGGCGGCTTACTTTTACAGAATCCTTACTAAGGGCCACATACTGTGCCAAGCATTTACTTGCATTATTAGATTTCATCTTTACAATGCTAATTTATGTATAGTGCTTTACAGTTTTAAAAGTGTTGTTAAGGGCCGGCCCCATGGCTTAGCGGTTAAGTGTGCGTGCTCCGCTACTGGCGGCCCAGGTTCGGATCCCGGGCCTGCACCGACGCGCGGCTTCTCCGGCCATGCTGAGGCCGCGTCCCACATACAGCAACTAGAAGGATGTGCAACTATGACATACAACTATCTACTGGGGCTTTGGGAGAAAAAAAGGAGGAGGATTGGCAATAGATGTTAGCTCAGAGCCGGTCTTCCTCAGCAAAAAGAGGAGGATTAGCATGGATGTTAGCTCGGGGCTGATCTTCCTCAAAAAAAAAAAAAAAAAGAAAAGTGTTGTTAAAATGTGAGTTAAGACTCTAAATGCAGTTAAGACTCTACTAGCTTCTTCAAGTAGACTGCTGGTGGGACTGCTTATGCAATACAGGACACACCATTTTCGTATAGAGTTATGGATAAACGTTTGGAGCACAGTGTCATAAAAATGGACTTCTTCTGCTTTAGTTTATTTAGTTATCTACAGAACTAACTCTCGTCCTAAGTCTCAAGCTGGTCATAGCCAGCATTTATTGAGGCCTAGGCTAGGCACTTTAACTACATCATTTATTCCTTCCCAAGATCCTGCATATTAAGTATGGTTTTCCAGATGGGGAAACTCAGCTCTCAGAGGGTAAGTGATTTGTCCTTGGGCCTTAAGTGGCAGGGTCCTATGTCAAACAGCTATTAATGGCAGAGATGGGAACCTACATTCCTCTACCCATTTTCAGAAGGGAAGTGGGAAGCTAAGTGTGATTATATTTTATTCTTCTATCCCTGAATCTGTGTTTGACATTTTAATAGACAAACCTTTTTACCAACAAATTTAAATTAGGACACAAGAGTATGATTAACACCCCTAAAACAAAAATAATCAGCTTATCTCAAAATCAGACTTAAAGCTGTAATATTTTACAAGAAATGATTGCTAAGCATTCAAAATATAAACACTGTGAAAAAGAGCTTTATGGTCTAGAAAAAAGTACAAGCAAACATGAGAATGATATCCATCTATTCTTATAAAATGTATAATTTCCAATAATATAATCAGTGGCAATTCTTTAAAAAAAAAAAATACAGGCATAAAAACTAAAAACTCTTCTGGCTTCTTTAGTGATCCAAGTCTGCATCTTTTTTTTTTTTTTTTTTTTTTGAGGAAGATCAGTCCTGAGCTAACATCCGTGCTAATCCTCCTCTTTTTGCTGAGGAAGACCGGCTCTGAGCTAATATCTATTGCCAATCCTCCTCCCTTTTTTTTTCCCCCCAAAGCCCCAGTAGATAGTTGTATGTCATAGTTGCACATCTTTCTGTTTCCGTATGTGGGACGCGGCCTCAGCATGGCCGGAGAAGGGGTGCATTGGTGCACGCCCGGGATCCGAACCCGGGCTGCCAGTAGCAGAGCGCGCGCACTTAACCGCTAAGCCACAGGGCCAGCCCCATTTTTGTTTTTTTTTTATTGTGAGGAGATCAGCCCTGTGCTAACATCTGCCAATCCTCCTCTTTTTTTTGGCCGAGGAAGACTGGCCCTGGGCTAACACCCATGCCTATCTTCCTCCACTTTATATGGGACGCCACCACAGCATGGCTTGCCAAGCAGTGCGTTGGTGCGCGCCGGGATCCGAACCGGCAAACCCCGGGCCGCCGCAGCAGAGCGCGCGCACTTAACCGCTTGCGCCACCAGGCTGGCCCCCAAGTCTGCATCTTTGAAAACAACAATTAAGCCATTTTATTCATCCACCCATCTATCCAGCCAGCCCACCTACCATCCAGAAAAGAGGCTAAAAACAAATGATTTCCCAGATTGGGCAGGATCCTTCTGGCCATCCACAGAGAGCTATAACCACTTGTAAATAGGCAGACCTTCTGTATACTGGCTATATCATAGGCAAGAAGTGTCACCCAGAGGTTATTCCTCACAGTCCAAATAGCTATACATATTCTATTAAGTTAAAGCAGCTGTAACTCCAGCGTGGAGCACAAAGAGATCTCATTCTTATTACCTGCTTTATGTCCTCTTCTGAATCTGTGAAGTTCTTAGTCTGGACTGTCTCAAAATCAGATTTAAAGCTGTAATATTTTAAAAGAAATGATTGTTAAGCCTTCAAAATATAAACCCTGTGATACCAAGCTTTACTGTCTAGAAAAAAATAAACTCAAACATAAGAGATGAAATCCACCTATTCTAATAAAATGTGTAATCTCTAATTAGATAATCAGGAAATAGGTATGGTTTGGATTATGTATGCTTCTTTTTCCTTTTTTGAATAGCAGCTAGGTTTCAGTGGGGCAGAATGGGGCTAGGGAAACGGGAACTATTATCTTCAAAAGCCACCATAAATATAATCAGAAAAGCATATACTTGTTTCCTCATTTCTCCCTCACTTGACAAGTTCTAGCATAGATTCAATCCTTAATTCTTTGATTCAATGTATGCAGACCCATCTGATATTACTGTAACTGTTCTCTATACCCAAAGAATACTAGTCTTAAATTGTTTTTTACTTTCCAAAATAAGTAAAACCTAGTACCAGATAAATATTTGTTTGTATAACACTAGGAAAAACAATCACAAACCAGCTAACACTTAATACTTTTACGAGATTTGTTTGTTTCTTCAACCATTTGGCAAACATTTACTGAATATTCATTATGTGCCAGGTACCATCATATATGAAAATATTATTGAGGCAAATTACACTTAATTTCCAGAAATTATCTCAATTGTCTAAATTATTCCTAGGGAGTTGTTGCTATACAAGACTGGGGTTGAATATTTGCAGGGAAGGGAGAACAGGGGTAGTTAGGTAAACAGTTGTTTTTTCCACCTCTCTAGCCCATTGTTTTGCCATTTTTAACATGAATCAATAGACATATTTACACAAATGCTGTTTGATGATATATATTAAGGATTCTCTGAAACTATAATAATTAAAGACATACACAAGTTTAGTACCATGTTTGAAACAATAATCAAGGCATGTAACATTCATGTTTATATATGCAGCTTGACAAGTTTAATAGCTGTTTTTCCAACAATTACGCTGATGGTTCTAGTGATACATGCAAAAGGAAAAGTCAGATTAATCTCATTCCAACCAGAAGGGCACTACCAGACCTTAAGTCTGGCATATAAGGTACATGATATAAAACAAAGAATATTATTTAATTTCTACAACATCCTGAAGAATTTACTACTGGCTGTTAAGGTGCCATACCTGCTTATTAATTCAGTCTGGGTTTCAGCTTCTATCCGTTGATCTGTTAAATCCTTTTTTCTTCTGGCAGGTGTATAATATCGATACTGTGATAGGAAAGATTTTGCTTCTGTTTTTAAAGTGCGTGGAGTGAATGGCAAATGTCCGTTAGAAAAGAGTTCAGAATGTTTATCCAAAAGGTCCCCACTGGGTGCTTTTGAAATAACTAACTGAAACCGGTAGGAATTTGGGAGTGTGCTCCTGGGCCTTCTGTCATACGTGGTTCCAGAGCATGATTTTCTGGGCTCGGAGGTGGTGTAATCCATGCCGGGCAGGGAGGAACTGGAGTTCTTCTCAGGACCATTTGTGAGGACTTTACTGGATTTAGGTGGACTTAGGTGTAGTCTCTCTGAAGAAGTTACTGGTGACCTTGTAAAGGATGGAAATCCATTCACTTCTTCGATTAACACATCATCCTCACCGTGTGGTTCCCCTGAAGGCTAAGAACATTTGGTTTGACAGTCATCGATTACATTTACAAATTCACCTAATTGGGGATCTCCAGATTATACATTCAAAAATGGTTGCTTCAGGGGTCTACAAAATTAACTTAAATGTTCCTGAAGATGTTAGCATTGTATATAAAGTTCAAGTTTTTGAATTATTAATCCATAAATATAATTCTAAATATAAGTAATAGCAATCATTTTCCTTTCTGAAATTAAAAATTGATTAATGACATACATTTATATTTGGGGTCCTGAACCAGTGTTTTGAGATCTACTGGGAGGTCTCAGTTTTATTTGAAAGTTTCCAAACCAATGGGGAGCACCAATCCCCTTCTCAAGAACTGCTGGTGGAAGCATCCCCCCCTTCCTGTCTTGTCATTACGATAGACTTCAGTGCCACCAGCTCCTCTGTGACTTCAAGGCTTTGAAGAAATGAAAAGGAATTTCTCCTCACAATGTATGGAGCCCTGATTTAAGTAACTGATATTTTAAATATAATTAAGAAATACTTATTCCATAAAAATTTCCTATATGTTTCTCAACTTCTCACGAATGGAGAAAGCTTTGAAAGGGAAAGCATTTTGTACTGCTCCATTTCCTTTTGGTTTAACTTTGGAAGAACTATTTCTACAGGGTATCCATAAGGTCTAAAAACATAGATAATATTTTATTCTTTTACAGATCAGATGCCCAAGAAGCCGTGTCTATGATTCTAGACTTTATGGACACCTGTGTATCCTTCATAAAACTCTGAGGCACTTTATTAGGTAGAGGGGAAGTTACACAGAGGTTACAGAAACTGAGGTAAAAATGGCTAGGATTTAGGCAGTTACATCTGCCCTACAAGCTCACGGGGAGAAAAACAAGAGGAAGATGAACAAGTGGAGTAAGGGGAAAGCTGAGCGCTTCCTGCGTGCAAGGTACCGTTTTCACCATTAAATAGAATAAGGAGGAATAATAAGAACTCCTCTCACTGCTACTAATATGTATGGAGTACTTACCATGTGTAAGGTATGGTTCTAACTCATTTACGTGAACAATTCATTTAATCCTCGCATTGTGGTGGTACAATTATTACCTCCATTTTATAGATGATGAAATTGAGGCGCAGGGTCTCATAGATTTGAATCCAGGCTGAGCCTATGCTCTTCGTTATTATATCATATTATCTATTTTAAAGACTTACTTGGAAATTATACAATTTTAGATTTTTTACAGCACCAGGAATCTTAAACTGATCTTAACTCTTTTCCTGTAGAGAACAAGTCAGCTAACCTCAGTACTAATTTATCCAAGTAAGGAAGCTGCAGATAACTTGGTAGTGTGACTACTACCTAAAATAGATCAAGTCACCTATTTCCCCTTCAAGTGCTTTCCAACTCTATCCCAAATAAAAGGTAAAATTATTCACAGTAAGTATTTTAGCATTAAATTTTGAGTCACTCGGGTACTGTTTGGTTAATGACTTCAAGACATTAGTTTTAAAAAGTGCTCCCAAACTAGGTTCACACTGCAGCTTATATACCAGAAGAGTTTGGCTCCCTGGAAGAAATTTCTAAGTACCACCTGAAAAATCCTATAAGGCTATTAAATAATAATCACGGGAATTATTTACACTTAGAGGAACAGTACAATCTGAGATCGCAGCAGGCAGAAATGCATAAGGCATTAGATTGCCTGAAAGAAAATTCTTATTAGTCATGGTTATTTAATAAACAAACGAAACACCAAAGAAAGTCTTTAAAGGCAGAAATATACTCTCATCTGTCTGCAATGGGCTGGAAAAATTGCTTTTGAACTGACTGAAGGCATGAAACTTTTTTGTATTTTTATGTCTCGCAATCCCTACCTTGTGTCCTTTCTCTTTCCTTGGAAACCAGTAGAACACAGTATGAAATCAACTGTACCAATATGCTTTTTTGAGATTATTTAATTTTTTCCTTTAGCTGTGAATATCAGAAAGCGGTATGAATAAAATTTTCACAGAAAATGTGTAACACACTGGTAAATTCACCAAAATGTAACTAGCAGATCACTGTAAAGTCTAAAATCAGAAAAGGTTCATCAATTATATGTCAATGGAACAAAAACTCTGGTGGTAATCTGACCACTTTCACTTTGTTACGTCATCCTTATAGTTCAACACACAATTTGTTGTAAATAGTTTCTGTGATTTAAGAATTTGTATAAAGTGATTATCACAGTTTACATATACATGTTTCTATGTCAAGAACACCTATTCAATTTTACAATTACAGAACTGAGAACTAAATCAATCTTTTTCAGGAATAATGTCAGAAGAAATGGTATACAAAGATTTTCCAATTCTCAGGTTTTACAACAGTTGAGGAATCAATTCAATTGCAGAATAGGATGGGTACAAATTATTTAAAAATTTTATTAACATTTGTTTTGCAAAAAAGTTTTAAATTATATTTTATAAAAGGAACTGATAGCTCTAGATTTTCACTGTTTATACTGGTTTTAAAACGTTCATAGATTTATTTAGGAATATGGATCACATCCACATATTCAATTAATCCTAACAGCACAGAGTAAGTGCTACCCCAGTGATGTGAGTGAGTGGTGAATAACTGTCTGAGGGGTAGAGAGTGCAGACTGGAAAGGCATAGGATGGTCTTGAGATGTCATGAGTCAAAGCATGAGAGAAAGAAAGCAGCATGAGCGTATAGGCAATTAAAAGAGAAGGTTTTTGATTATATGATCTCATGTATATAAATGGCCAATATGTCCAGAGGCTAAAGTTAGCATTTTCTTTTTAATTGCAGCAAACTTTTCAGTAAATGCAGATTATAACTGTAACAGGTGTCTGCTAACCAAAAAAACCCATCCAATTATCAAAATATTATGCCCCAAATAATTTTAATTTGAATGTCTAAATATTTATTATCAAGGCTTATAAAAAATGTAGGCAAAATGCAAGTTATTGTGAATTCTAAATGGAGTAAAAAAATTATATATATATATATAAAAGCATAAATGAACTACTTTATAGAGGTACAAAGCTATAGGGTTACAGTGGCTAAAGGAAAAATAAATAGAAAACATCTTACATTTACAGACTTAATTATATATTTTATTTTCAACAAACCCCATTCTTATCTCAAAATACAATTATTAACTTATATTCCAACTGCTGGATAATAGAAAAATATTTTTAATTTTCAGTTAAAAAGTACAATCACAAAAAATGAAAATACACATGTGAGTCGAATGTTGATGAACAGATTCCCAGATGGCAAAGTACAGTACAGAATAAGGCAGATTTATTCTAAAGGAAGAGCTCTAATCCTGGTCCTCCTATCTATGTCACAACACTGGGGGCTCTTAAACATATTTACAGCTTCCCTGTTGACTCCCAAATCTATTTTCAGCCCAGACCTCTTTCTTGACACAGATGCTTATATCCAACTGTCTAATGAATATACTACATGTTCCAAAGGCACCTCAAATCAAGCATGTCCAAACAAGTAAACTCATAGCTTACATTATCCACCCCTCCAAAGAAAAACTGCACTTCGTCCTGCATCGTTATTTCTGTGAATGACACAGCACCATCCTCCCAGCTGCCCAAGCCAGAAACCTGGGAACCTCTTTAACTCTTGCTTCTTGCTCTTCACGTCATCGAATCAGTCACCGAGTCCTGGGGATTCTATTAAATGTATTCTTTGTGCTCTTTCTGCTGTCTTAGATCAAGTCTTAATCATTTCTTCCCCAGATTACTGCTACTGTCTCGTAATTATTCTATCCTCCTCCACTGCCAGTGCAGACTTTGTAAAGTGTCAATATGACGACATAACTTCCCAAAGAAAAACCAGTCTATGGCTCCCCCATATTTCTCAAGGAAAAACAATCCAGATTTATTATTATGGCACAAATGCCCTTGGTCTTTCCCCCTGCTAACTGATATATCACACCTCCATGTGCAATGGAAAGAGCTGGAATCAAAAACATGGCACTTGGTACCTAGTAAGCAGAGCAATGAAACTGGCTTGTATCAACAGGCAATAGTTTTTACCACAGCATGGGTGCGAGGGGACAGAAAACAAAGCTCAGGGACTGATCTGGACAGTCCAGGAGACCACGCTCATGAATCTGGGATCTTTTCAATGGCTACGCCCTAACTACGTGACTTGCAAAGAAACTTGCCCATCTTGAACACTGGCACTGAGTGGAAAGGGAACACTGCCCTTTGAGAATCTGAAATCATATGCTGCTTGCACACAAGCTTGCAGCCTAAATTTGCATTACCCGGATGGTCCACAAAAACTTTAAGCCAAGACAAATGACTCGTTTTTTCTTCCAATACATCAATTGTAGGGGGATAAAAAGGTGAGGGAGGGGCTGGCCCGGTGGCGTAGTGGTTAAGTTCTCGCAGTCCGCTTCGGCGGCCTGGGGTTCACAGGTTCTGATCTTGGGCGTGCACCAATGCACCGCTTGTCAAAGCCATGCTGTGGCAGCCTCCCATATAAAGTAGAGGAAGATGGGCACAGATGTTAGCCCAGGGCCAATCTTCCTCAGCAAAAAAGAGGAGGATTGGCAACAGATGTTAGCTCAGGGCTAATCTCCCTCAAAAAAAAAAGGATGAGGGAAGAAGAAGCTATAGATTAAAAGAAATTTGTCAATTAATTAAAATTATTTAGATCCCAATCCTAACAAACTGAAAAAAAAATTATGAGACAATGGAGAGATCTGAATACCGGATATTTGATGATATTAAAGAATTATTAATTTTTAAGGTATAATAATGGTATTGTGGTCTTTTAGATACATAAATATTTATGGATAAAATTATATGATATCCAGGATTTGCATCAAAATAATCTGGGGTAGGGGTAGTGAGTGAGGGTATAGGTGCAATGAGTCTGGCCATGAGGTGATCATTGTTGCACCTGGGGGACAGGAACATGTGGGTTCATTATACCACTCTATTTTTGCAGATGCTAAAATTTCAAAATTAAAAACTTTTAAAAAAAGAAACAACCACACACAAAAGTAAAACAGACTTCCAGTTTCAGCTGAGAGATGGAGAGAGATGGAAAGAGCACAGCTCTCACCATTACAACAAGAAAAAAGCTGGCCAAACCGCAAATTAATGATTTTTCTGGAACTAATGAGAGGACTAATAAGAGAACTAAGAACAACTAACCTGAAATCTGGAGAGAGACAGGCACCTGCGGGGAGAAACAGGACCTGAGCGTTTGCCACTGGATGCCATACAAAATGGTAAGATTACTCTAGAAGTTTCTGGCTAATTGCTAAGGACCAAGTGTAGACTAGCGTGCGAGTGTGAAGCCTCTGAGACTTGGGAGTTTGTGCCCTTTTGAGGGTTTTTCCTCTAGGAATCCCACCAGGAACTCACAGGCAAGAGCAGGGAGAATCCTGGGAAAGCTTCCTCTTTCCCCTCTTCTCTTGGTGTGGTTGGGGGAGGGGAAGAGCAGCCACTGTAGAAATTCCTCCCAGACCCATTTTCTCTCTCTCTCAAGGAACAAAAACCTTAATCTACAGGGGGACATTTCCTTCCTCTTTGCCATGTAACAATCATGGAAGTGACATCCCATCACCTTTGCCCTATTCTCTTGGCTGGAAGCAAGTTACAGGTCCTGCCTACACTTAAGAGGAGGAGATTCTTTAAGGGTGAGGGTCACTGTGGGGGGGAAGACATTCTAGAATTTTGCCTACTATAGTGGGTCAAATAGAAAGTACAAAACAAGAAGGCAGAAATAACACACTAAATGCTTCACTTAAAAGACAAAGATTATTAGAGTGAATAATCTGACCCACCTAAAACTTTAGGACCTACCAAAAACAGTAGGATTAAAAAATGGAAAAAGATGGGCCGGCCCCGTGGCTTAGCGGTCAAGCGCACACGCTCTGCTACTGGTGGCCCGGGTTCGGATCCCGGGCGCACACCAACGCACCGCTTCTCCGGCCATGCTGAGGCCACGTCCCACGTACAGCAACTAGAAGGATGTGCAGCTATGACATACAACTATCTACTGGAGCTTTGGGGGAAAAATAAATAAATAAAATTAAAAAAAATGGAAAATGATATACCAAGGGAATACTATCAAAAGAAAGCTGGTTTAACTATATCACTATCTGAAAACACTTTAATACAAAAAGCATTAAGGTAAAGAAGTTTAAAGCACAGTGACCAAGAAAATATAATATCTCTAAATCTGTATATAGGGAATAACATAGACTTAAAATATATAAAACAAAAATTGATAATACCACTAGGAGAAATAGCTAAATACATAATCATGTGAAAGATTTCTCTCAATAAATGATAGATTAATCAGACAAAAAGAATAATAAGGGTAAAGAATATTTTAACATCTAAAAGATATGAAGTTGAATCTAATGAATACACTGTATATTAAATACTGCACACAACTATAGACTATATTTTCTTTTAAAACACATAATGACATAGTGCATTTAAAAAAACTGTCTGCCTACTGGGCCATAAAACAAGTCTTAACAAATTTCAAGCAATGGGTATCATACAGATAGATGTTCCCTGATCATAATACAATTAGGCTAGAAATCTGTAACAAAGAGAAAACTAAGAAAAAAATAGACATAGAGATTAAGAAACACTTCTAAAAACTCCTGGGTTAAAGAAGAAATTATAATGGGAAGTGTAAAATACTTTGAATTAAACCATAATAAAAATACCACATATCAAAACTTGTGGATGCAGCTAAAGTAGCACTTGGAGGAAAACTTATAGCCTTAAAAATGCTCAACTATGAAAGAAGAGAGGCTGAAAACAGGCTAAACAAAAGCAGGAAAAGTACAGCAAAATAAATCTATAGAAAGCCAAAAGAGGAAAATAAAGATAAGAGTGGACATTAATGAAATAGAAAACAAAATGCAATAAAGAGGATTAACAAAGTAAACAATATGCTCTTTAAAAAGATTAATAAAACTGACAAATCTCTGGTGAGAATAATAAAGAAAAGAAGAATAAGGGCACAAATAAACAATATTAGGAATAAACAGGGGGAAATAATACATATTCATGAGAGGTTAAGAGAATATTATGAAGTCTATGCCAGAAATTTGAAAATTTAGATGAAATGGATAACCTCCTACACATATACAACTTATAAAAATGGTTCTATAATGATTTCAAAAATTGAATCAGTAGTTAAGAATCTTCTCACAAAGAAAACTCTAGGCACAGATAATTTTAATGTTGGATTCCATCAAATTCAAGGAACAAATAATTCCAAACTTACAAAAACTATTCTAGAGGATAGAAAAAGAGGAAATAGTGCCCAGTTTATTTTATGAGGCTAGCATAACCTGACACAGAGAGTAGAAGAAAGGAAAATGACCCATCAACTGATGAATGAGTAAACAAATGTGGCGTATGCATAAATGCAATACTGTTTGGCAATATAAAGAATGAAGTACTGAAACTTGCTATAACATTAGATTAGCCTTGAAAACATTATGCTAAGTGAAAGAAGCTAAAATTTAAACGGGACGAAACTAACAGAGAACTTACTTATTTTTTCACCATTCCTACCCAGGAGTATCCTAAAAACCTACAGAAACTGTCCCATCCACTTAGCAACACCAAGTCAAGGTGAAGGAGACTTCTAGGAATCTTAGCCAGGTGACACATTGGTAGGGTTATATAATTTTCTCTTTTGATTTTACATCCATCAAGCAACATACTGCTTATGACAACCCAGTGTGACTGATTATAAGAAGAGACTGTATTGCTTAAGCAAATATTACCTAGTAGTCTGTTAGTCTCATCACCTTCTCATTTTAAACTAATAAGTTGGGATCCTAGGTTTGAAAAAAAAAAGAAAAAAGGGAAATGATAGGCCAATACCAATAATGGACATAGATACTAAAATCCTAAACAAAATATTAGCAACTATATCCAGCAATGTATGAAAAGGAAATGCATCATTACAAATTTGTGTTTATACTAGGGATGCAAAGTTGGTTTAACATTAGGAACTGTATTGTAACTCACTACATTAACAGATGAAAAAGAAAAAATTATACCATCATTTCAAACAAATGTAGAAAAAGCATTTGATAAAATTAACATGCATTCATGAGAAAGGAAAAAAATCTTAGCAAACTAGAAATAGAAGAGAGCTTCCTTAACCAGATGTTAAAGGGTATCACAGAAAACCTACAGAAGGGGTCAGCAAACGATGGTCTGCAGGCCAAATCCAGCCCACTGTCTGTCTTTGTTTAAATAGTTTTACTGGCACACAGCTACATTCATTCATTTATGTATTGTCTATGGCTGCCTTCCAATGGCACAATAGTTGTGACAGAGACTGTGTGGCATGAAAAGCCTAAAATATTTACTATTTGGCTCTTTACAGGAAAAATTTACTGACTCTGACCTATAGTAAATATGTTACCAAAAAGTCAGGTTGCACTACTAATTAAGTGCCTTAGAAACATTTGCTTTTAAATGGTGAAAACACTATCTTACCTTTTGTAGAGTGTTTAATAACTTGGAATTATTTTTAGAATTCGTCTGCACTGCAGTTTTAGTTAATTTCAACCCCCTTTCACATCGTGCTAATTCCTTTTTGAGTTTCTCTCTTCGTTGTTGGTCTGCATCTGAGGGAGAAAACAAGTCTTTTGAAATATAAAATGAAATAGAAAAATTAATTTTTTAGTCTTGTAAAACTAATAAGGGGCACACTTTTTCCCATATGCTAAAAATGTTTACACTACTGATATGTAAATAAAAATCCATATACTTTTCTGTATAAAGAGAGGCTAACATAAATATTTAATTTATAGAAACTTTGAATGGATTAACTGTTTAAAGAGCACAAACAAGATGTGACAAACTGGCCAAGCCTAAGGGCTCAAGAAAGCAATTCCTAGCAGACATTCATAAAGATATGAAGAAGAAATGCTTGGCCATGTTGTGATTCTGTAATCCCCAAATGCAGAGTTTGAATTAGTCCACAGACTCTCCCCCAAATGAAATACTGTCAATACCATCATATGCTATAAAAATCTAAGTGTTATATGACTTTAAAAAAATGACGTTACATTTTCAAACATTATTTTCAATCCGGATAACTGATTTCTATTTCTCTTAACTGCTATTCATTTGAAAATACAAATGAAAAAAGTGGTTTCACACTTTAGTGTGCTTTAAGTCAGGTACTGAGTCATTATCATAGACTTATTGTATAAAGGCAGAAAATGGCGAAATGAAAGTGAGTCAAATTTCAGAGTTCAATAGAAGGTTAACCACAAGTAAAATGATTTGTATTTTCATATAAAATTAAAAATTGAACATATTTTTTATTGGAATCTATGCCAACTTAATGGACAAGACAATTTCAAGTTTGAAATCACCCTAATCTCAATCAGGACTTCTAAAAATTTCTACAAGCTTAAAAAACAAAGGCAAATTTATATATATTTAGAATTTCAACTACAATTACTATGAAAAATTATAAGTACGCTAAAGTAAATACATTTATCATTTAAAATCTAGACTGAAACATTACTTTCAGCTTATTCTATCCTCAAATAGTTACTTAATGAATGTGTTAACTTATGATAATGTTTGTGGAGTGAATTAAATAGAATGTTCTCAGTCAGATCTATTATTTTAAACTCATAGGTAAAATAAGCAAGTAAAAAAACATGAAAGAGTCCTCAGACACTATCATTACTAAATACTTCTGTATTACCAAATCTGTCCAACCTATTAATTTAAGTAAAGCCTCCTCACAGCATACACAAAAATCTACTCTAAATGGATCACAGACTTGAACGCAAGAGCTTAACCTATAAAACTCTTAGAATAAAACACAGGAGTAAATCTACAGGACTTTGGGTTAGGCAAAGATTTCTTAGATACAACAGCAAAAGCACAAGCAAAAAAAAAGATAAATTAGACAATCAAAACAAAAAACTTTTATGTTTTTTAAAAAGGGAAGCCACAGATGGGGGATAAATATTTGCAAATCAAATATCTAATAAAGACTTGTATCCAAAATATATAAATAATAGACAACTCAATAATAAGAAGACAAATAACCCAATCTAAAAATGGGCAAAAGATTTGAGGGACCAGCGGCGTGGCGCAGGTGGTTAAGTGCGCGCGCGCTCTGCTGCGGCGGCCCAGGGTTCGCTGGTTTGGATCCTGGGTGTGCACCGACGCACCATTTGGCAAGCCATGCTGTGGCAGCGTCCCATATAAAGTGGAGGAAGATCGGCATGGATGTTAGCTCAGGGCCAGTCTTCCTCAGCAAAAACAAGAGGAGGATTGGCAGACGTTAGCACAGGGCTGATCTTCCTCACCAAAAAAAATATATATATATATATATATTTGAAGACATTTTTACCAAAGATATACAAACGGTGAATAAGCATACGAAAAAAATATTCTACATCACTAATCATGAGGGAAATGCAAATTAAAACCACAATGAGATACCATTTCACACC